TTTCACATAAAAATATGTATTTCGATTACATAAGGAATACGACGTAACGGCAGTTTAGTAAATAGACTTATTAGCTGAGATTGCCGGACAATCAGCAATTAATTAGTTTAATGGATGTCCAGCACATAGTAGTCAACTATGTAAGTGCTAGGTTGCCTAGTCTAGGTACTAGTTGGAGCACGTGGCTTGCGCTGTGCGCTATAATTTTCCTTTCAAGGCACGTTTTAAGATAAACATCTGTGTTGACGATTACCCAGTCACTGTTTTGACATTTTGTCGCTAACGTTTCGTACGATCTAACATACTTGTGTTGTTCTCATTTAAGTTACCTTTGTTATTTCTACAACAAATTGAATAAAATGATTTCATAATGTAGACTGATTCTCAGACTAGGAGGTAAACAACGTTAACATCACATGACGATAATATTTCGGTAGTTTTATTCATAAATTCCATGTTATAACGAGCCTATTTGTCTAGATTCAAAACACAAAAGTTCCACAATAAACAAGTTCGTCAATCACTTAGATTGCGCAACAGTCATAAAATAGTTCGTTTCCTCATTACGTGTATTGGGTCATTGGTCTTGCCGCTCTAATTATTTGATTGTTGCGCCACTTCCACAAATGAGGACTTTATGGAATCTCCCGTTTCCTAGTTAAATGGAATTTGTGCTAGACCATTCTATGCCGGGTTAACGTCAAGGATGATTAGTGACTTAGAGAGAAAAACCTTCATGGAGACCTCAATGCTTAGAAAAGATGAAAAGTACTCAAACCGATATCAAAACAATCATCCTGATATCTCGTCTGATAAATAAATATTAATTGTTTCAATGATAAAGGACCAATAATTTAAATTATATCCATTGACAGTATTTTTTTTAATATGCTTCTTATTGTGGTTGCCTTTCACTTTACCAGGAGTTCATAAATTGCAGGTATTGGCGGCACTGGCGGCGCAGTCTATCAACATATCAGTGGGCTTCTGTCAAGGGTTCTCAGCGGTTCTGCTACCCCAGTACACACACGAACACTCCGCAATAACGTATGAGCAAAGTTCATGGATCGGTGAGTAAATAATTATTTGTTTATTGTCTTTTATTATGGAAATGTGTAACCAGAAAAAATCATACTCAAAACATCGTATGCTGTATCTGTAATTATGTAAATCATATTTGTTTTGTGAATGTATTTGTTGAGAGTTGGCGTATACGTACGAACAATGAGCGCGCAATGGTTCGTGAACGTGTGATAATTAGTGAATAGGTACGGAGACTACTTTGTTGTTCATCATCATTATAATATGAGACAAACGAAGTCTGAACTACTGCAGTTGTAGAAAATGGTTTTCAATACAGAATGTAGTACTTATGTAACAATACGAATTAAGAGCGAATCATTCTACGGTTAATCTTTTTAAACTCAATTGCTTATTTATTAGTAGTTTGTAGCATATGAACCATAACAAACAGAGATGGAAAGTGATATTCCCTATCGGTCACACTGAATGAACACTGCGAAACAATGTTTACATTTTATTTTGGGATCGGAGGGCGATGCCAGGGCGATACACGTGAGCCAGCTCAACGAGGCCGCTAAAAATATAGCTCACTCACATAGCACGTTTTAATGAAATTTAGCTGTGGGAAACAGATGACCGGCATCTGTAGTTACGACAAAAGAGGTCATTAAAACATTAGAAATAAGTAATTAAATTACAAAAGTAAAGACATCCAGAATAAAGGACCAAACCGAAGAAACTGCTCTTTATGCCCTGAGAAATGTCAAACATTTGTAGACTATTTATTCCCAATATAAATATTAATAGAGCAACACTTTGTAGACATCGGAAATTAAATATTGACGCAAATTGTCGACGTGCGCAAATGAGATAGCGTTAGCACACAGTCAAACACATCATTTGTACTAGGAGATAAGTAACACGAGGAGCGAGGGTCGTAAGCCTAGGGCCTTATTGCTGATCACGCACAGCGCGAACCCTATCACAAGTTATGATTATGACCCTTTCAAGGAGACAGAAGCTGACTTCGATAAGGTTCAAGAGGCTTGGGATAGAGAATTAAGTATATTTGATATTGAAGGTCAATAAGTAATCCAATATTTATCCTCGTTTGTTCTATTTTACAGCCAGTTTGGGTGTGATATCGAACCCCATCGGAGCCCTTCTAGGCGGCATGATGGTAGATGCCGTGGGGAGGAGATTACTGCTGCAGTCCATCGTGCTGCCCAACCTGGTCGGGTGGCTAGTCATCGCGTTCTCAGAGACCTACATCTTCCTATGTATAGGGAGGTTCATCACCGGGTTTACTATCGGTAAGTTGCAATTCTACATTTTATTCAATCTTGTTTGTATATAAGAAATCTTATCTACAATCCTGTATTTTCATTTTTAACATAACTAAAGGAAAAACAGCGTGAAGTATCGGAAGACTACCTAATTGAAACGTAGACAAACGAACCGTATCCACTTACACTATCAGCGTCTCTAATAACGTTAACTGTTTCAATTCCAGGCATGTCAACGGTCTCCTACATATACGTGGCAGAGATCACCACACCAGAGAAACGTGGAGTGCTCAGTGCCCTAGGGCCGGGGCTGGTGTCCACTGGCATCTTCATCGTCTATTCGTTGGGAGCCTTCGTACACTGGAGGAAAGTCGCAGCCATCTGCGCCGGCGTGTCCCTCCTAACACCCTTCTTAATGTACTTCGTTCCCGAGTCACCTCTGTGGCTCGCGTCAAAAGGACAAATGAAGGAAGCCTACAACGCAATGTTCTGGCTCCGACAGAATAACAGTACAGCACAACAAGAGCTAATGGAGTTCACGAAAGACAGAAAAGTAGGAGAAAACATGACCTTCACACAAAAACTCCATCTATTCACGAGGAGAAGCGTCGTCAAGCCGTTCCTCCTACTGATCATTTTCTTCATTTTCCAAGAAATGTCTGGCATTTACGTAATTTTGTACTACGCGGTCGACTTCTTCAAGTCTGTGGGAACCAGTGTCAACGAGTTTACAGCGTCCATCATAGTGGGCGGAGTACGAGTCTTTATGGGAGCCGTTGGAGCGTGTTTAATTAATAGCTTTAGAAGAAAAACTCTAGCAGCCACTTCAGGATTGTTACTAGGTGTAGCTATGCTCGGTGCAGCAGTGTGCGATAGTGTAAACGGGCCTCCATTGGTGAAACTAGCTTGTGTACTACTTCACGTGTCGTTCAGTATGGTGGGATTCTTACAGCTGCCCTGGATCATGTCTGGAGAACTGTATCCCCACGACATAAGGGGAGTAATGTCCGGCGCTACATCTTGCTGTGCATACGTCCTCATATTCTTTAACATTAAGACTTACCCTCAATTAGAAAAACTAGTAACTAGTAACGGTACATTGTACCTCTTCGGAGGCTGTGCGCTCCTGGGAGCTGCGTACTGTTACTTTTTCCTTCCAGAGACGAAAGGAAAAACTTTGACTGAAATAATGAGGCAATTTGATGATGAGAAGAAAGAAATTGACCCTGAAGTAGGATTCACGAAAGAGAAGCCATGTGCAATGGAGGGAAAACCAGTACAAAGGCGGCACAGTGCAGGAGCTACAATCTCTTTAGAGAAGAACTGGACGCAGGATGAATGCAAGAAGACTTCAGATCACTGCGAGTAACTCTCGTAGTTCTATGATAGCCTAGTACTTTTAGTTGTATTGATTAATTTACCAATGAATTTGTAAAGTTAACTATTTGTAATATTATTGTATTGTTTGTGAAGTTGTGATCAGTATTAATTAGGATGTTTTAAACTTTTGATAATGTTACATTCCACTAGTGATAAATAATTTTAATACAAGGTGACGACATATGTAGGTATACTTACACGGTAAAGTTTTACCTAGTTCTAAGTACAAATAAATATTGGTGTAACAAAACCGAGGCAATGAAGTGATTAATAAAGTAATTCGTATTTTTATATCGCGCAGTTAGGTAGGTGATATTTTTATATTGTTATATTGATAATAACTATTTATTATCGTAGAAGATCTAAGCCAATAGTATCAGTGAGCTGTGTACAGGGTGAATGAATTTATTTTAGTAAATGGGTGGACTTACATAATATAATTGAAGAAGCTGTGATGAAGTGTGAATAAAGGAATGACTTGTTTACAACGTTTGTTTCATTTTCTATAATTAATTGTATAGGTGTTGACCTGGATGGGCTGGATACGATAAGATATGAAATGCGGTCAACGTTCAAGAGCAGAGATAGTCGGAGAGAGCAAACAGAAACAGTAACAGACAAACATTCATCAATAATGTATTTCTGTGATAGTAAGTAAACATGCTTACACAACCTTCGAGGTTCGAGATAATTATTATATTGCAGATTTAAGAATAAGCTTCTATGTAATATTAGTTTAGTTATAGAATGATACCAAATTGGCATAAATGTTGGTAGAAAGGGCAACTGCCGAGTATGGAACTAATATTGGGATTTCAATTATGAAATTGGCACTATTGGCACGGAGATTGGAATAAATATTTATTTGTAGGAAAAATACGTATAAATAAACTATTACGGTCACTTCGGGGTATTAAAATAATTATGTATTTTTTTATATGTATCATGAAATTATGTAAATCTGTGTAGGTAATTACCACTTCACATAAGATAAAGATTATAAACCCGCGTCTTAATATCGAGTTGATATGATATAACTAGCGCCATCTATGTCACGGTTCAAAAACGTCCGTCTGTCGAGTTTTACATATGTAACAGCCAGTGAAGGTTCGATGGCGAAACCTTTTAATGCACCTCTCGTACACTAGGTGGCAGCACAATGTTCGTAGTTATTCTGTCAGAGAACTAAAGCTTTTTGAAAGGTATATTTGTATATTTTATTATTATAAAACATAGTGATAGACCCGGGCACTATCTAGATGTCCTGGAATTTCCTCGCTGGAAAATAATCAAAGTAAAAAATAGGCTTACCTGGATTGTGGTATTCCATATTTGATGCCGACGCCGACCCTAGGCAGCGCCTTGATCACCTTCTTAACCGTGGCCTGGTCGGGGAATGCGAAGAATATGGAAGCTGAAACATTATAAAAATCTTTTATGTGTCGTGTAATTTGGTGTCACTACACCGAGGACGGGCAGCAGCGTCGCCGATGTGGACATTGAGAGAAACACCGACAGCCTTAGGACATGCAGCTACCAGGACTACATAACTCCATAGGAGCTTTGGTCCTTTTATGCGCATAGTAGTAGAAGAGTAGATAGGAGATTAGTTTTACAGTATAGTGATAGAAGTGGTAAAGTGTCGCATTTTTTACGCTTTCCAAGAGCGTGTGTGAGGGGAGTGCTGCCTCGTGTAGACACAAGCGCGTGTGCTCCAGTTTTGTTTGGTTGTGTCAAGAAGAAGCGGTGTTAGCACACGACATTGAACATGCAACACTCAGTCCTCCAATATTATAAATATCCCTCCACCTCCATTTAAACTGTCAAACACCAAGCGGTCACCGGTGACCGCAACCTATTATTCTATAATTGTGTCTACAATGACGGTACTCGACGAGATATCATTGTTTTTACTGCTTATTTCTTCAAATTGATATTAAATATCCCAGGTGTATTCATAGTACATCCAGTTTTAGTTTAATTTTGTTTAGTAATTTCTCACGATTCTCTAGGGTTTCCTCATACGTACTAAATGAACATGGATTGATTGTACTTACTCCTGCTGGCGAGGAACATCTCGATGGCAACATTCTGTAGCAGGTATCTCCTGGAGAATATCGCCCTGATCTCGCTGAAGTACCATTTGCCATGCAGGTGCTCGCAGTATTTCAACACCTGGAAAAAAGAAAAAGGACATTAATAAAACTAATAAAATGACTTTCGAAATTCTTAGGGAATAATGTCAAAAGTGAACAACATGTCAAAATTTAATAAAATAATAATTATTATTAACATCGTACACGTTAGTTATAACTCGTCCACAAGATGGCGTTAAAAACGAAAATAGTCTTAACAAGAATAAAGTCCACGTCGTAAAAGTAAGGAACACGTCGGGTCGTAAAAAGTTCGTTAGTTTTAATTTATACGTACAATAATTGTGTAAATCAAGTCTTACTTGTCCGTTATATTGTTTTAATGTGTGTTCAAGCGTTTAAATAATGTCGTTTCATGTTAATTTAGACTTCCGTACAACTATCGCTTATATACCTGTTTGTTAAGGTTTTTTTTTCTTTGTGGCGTGATTTATGAAATATATTAGACATTAGTTGACTTGAATTTATAGGCTAAGATATTTTCACGTCAACTGACATTCTCTTCCTGTCTGAATGAAATATAGGTAGGTATCTATCTACATAGTTGAGTACCTAGGATATAAATTAGAGGCTGTTGATCTAGCTCGTAAATCTAGACTGCAGGAGAAGTGCAGAGTTGGCAACGAGCCGACATGTTGGAGCCGAGCTGACGTGTTAGTCGCCGGCTATCATCACCTGTCTGCCTGGCTAACCTGTGCTAACTGAGCGAGCTGTCAGTCAGCAAACTGTTTAATTAATTACTGAATACTTTCAGGTGATTAGTGATTTATTTCGTCTTGTTGAGTGAGAACTGTACATGCGTAGACAGTACTAAACATAACTATTTCATTAATTAATCACTATTTTTTGTATATCCTTCTACTTTCCATATTCGACCACCTGCTGAGGTTCGAAAAATCTGATATTATAACTCTCAATCAACAGTTGCACTCAATTTTATCTGAAAGAGAAAGTCCTCTCTCCGCTTCAAGAAGACAGATATTCATTGAAAACAGTCCCTAATACAATAACTAATAAGTATACTCGACTACAATTATTAAAAACCCACAAAGAATCTATTGTTCCATTGTAAACAACAGTAGAATAAAAAGAGCATGTGTTATAAACACAGGAGAGCACGTGTCAGGTCTCCATAGAACCGCCATGGATGCATGGTGTATGGGTCCACTAATTGGCAGTCGAGATGGATTGGCGAGAGCACTGCAGTGATTGTTATGGTGTAGTTCTATGGGGCGTCGGCCCGCGGCGACTAGTATGCGAGTGGGAAAATCCATGTGTTACTAATATGTGTAATACTGTCATGATTTAGTTTTGTTCGGTCCACTGGATATTGTATTATGGAGATTGTGGAGTACAATGCTATAGCTGTCCATTTTTTAATATTGTATATATGATAGTTTTAGAGTACAAAAGTGATTTTAAACAAACATTTTTGGTCCTTCGGTCCTCGGTCCTTTTTGCTATTACATACTGCAATTGCTTGTAGTTCCTGTATATTCCATGTATGTATAAAATACTTATGATTAATTAACAAGTATGTCGCGAAACAGTGTTTTATATTTAACTCCAGTATCACTCACGCACTTTGCATATTAAAGCACTTTAATGCCCTTGTTAAGCCATTAATAAGAATAGTGTTTTCAGGGGAAACCGAATAAATAAGGAGAGAAATATAAGTTCTTTGTACTAGTGTGGAGTGTGTCGGATAATATTTACGAAAGTTTTTAGAGAGTTCGATCCCCGTGTCAGACTTGATTCTGAGGCAATGACTTCAAGAAACTTTTTTATGCATGTTAAGAAATTACGTAGAAGATAACTTCTAGCTAACAAATTGGCGCAAAAGCAGATTGTGTGTACTCTAAAAAAGCTGTAGCCTTTTTAGTCGAATTAATGTTTAAGCGTTTTGCTTCTATCGAGAGATTAAAACAAGTGCTAGTAAAAAGATATTACCAAATATGGTACAGAAAGAAAACAGCAAACCCCATAGAGAACCATATTAATAGGTACTAGGATAGCAAAAACATGAGGGTGCGTGCGAGTGCAAACGTCCACTTCAATTGTAATGCAATTTGTCAGCCACCCCCTTGAGCTTCGGATACCCTGGTACAAAGTGACTCGGATGTTTAAATAAATATAACATTCCCTGTTTTCATTTATTATGACTTCTGAATAAATGTAATAGAAAAATAATATTCGGATAGATCACTGTAAGTTTTAAATATTTTTTGGCAACTATGTAATATTTACGTTTTTTGTTAATTTAAACTATTTACGTAAATCTCATTGTATTTATGCATCATGTTGTAAATATTTAAGATAGTTGTTTACTATATCTCCAACAAAATTTATCGTCAATAAACAGAATACGCCATAAAATCCGCATGGGAAACTTCTATCGTTTAGTTACTCATTAATCCCCACAAGTTATGCGCAAACGTTACTCCACGGACTTTGTACAAACAAGGCGATTATCACCAAGTTCCCATAACTGGTAGATGGTAGATCAAACACACAGATTCAGATAGGACACGCTCTATATTAATAACTGCCGAATTCTCAATCATTTTCTGTGCTCCTACAGCTTATGTTTTGTTTATTTAACGGGGAATAAATTAGGTGCTTAGGTAAGTTGAAGTGACTTATGCATTGAAACTGCTTGATTATGACAAAATAATGAGCATTTTATGGATGCTAGAGTTAGGAACGTCATAAGTGTTATCGACTTCAAAATAGGGAAGATAATGACCAAGACCGATACAAAAAGGAATAAAAATGCTTATGCCTCGTGATAATTATGATGAGGTAACAGAGCCCCCATAAAGTAATACAATTCTAAACAAAACGAGGTACAATAATGTTAGACATTTTCGTACATGTTTTAGTGTATTGTATACAGCGGGATGCAACATGCAGTATCATCATTAGATCATAATGGTCGGTTGTCACGACACCGGGGGATGCAGGGAACCGCGCCATGTCGCCACACCGCGCGGTCTCGCGGTGGGAACCGCACACATGTCCGCCTCACTTGATTTATTCCCTATAATACCATTACGAGAGCATTAAGTGGATGCTAGATGAAATTATGTACCACTTAATGTCTTTTGTGTTCAGTAATAAAATAGGAGCTTCCTTGAATACGTTGTATGTGGGGTCAAGTTTATTTTTTCTTTTAATTATTTTATAGATGTCTGCCGTAATCAGTTAAATATTTTTTTTATTTAGACACCTACTTGAATTAATTAAGTAATTTTAGTTCGTGACTACATAAACAGACGTAATATATAGAGGTGATAGTTGTGAAATTAAATTATTCGAGTAACATTAACCTGCAATGCAAAATCAATTGTGTGTCCCAAGCAATTAACATCTATTTCAAATAAATCTTTTAGAGAATAACCTCATAAACTAAGTTTAGTTTACCGCGGACGTTTTTGTGGATGGGAGTAAGCAGCGGGCCGCGATGGTTATCGGGCCCCGTAAATAAGGTCCCGGGCGCGTGACAAGCTTGGTCATTAAGGGCGCGCGGTGACGGCCCAAGTCGCGACAAGACGCGAAAAAAAACCGCGCCCTCGTGTACTGGGTGCATAATAATCAGACGTGGTTTTTAGTATTAATTGATTAAGGTTGTGAAATCTTTAAATAAAATGTAGGAGTGACCACAATTATGTATAGTTCTATCCAAATATTTTAATTGGAATAATATAATTTCCGAGAACAATATTTTTATCAAATATTGTTTTTCTTATTGTAATTTGTTGTTTCTTGCTCTATTTTCTGCATAGGAATCTAACCTAAGCTTTAGATTGCGCAAATAACATTAAGCTTAAAGAACCGAGTACCGATAGACGGACAGAATATTTTTATGAGTTTTAAAAGTGCCTTTTAACCTCACATATGGTACAATTTTATTTTGTATTACAATCAAATCAATCCTTGTAGTTCATCAACAATTTTAAGTAAGTATAGTTTTTGTCTATCGCTACCATAACAAGGTGCGTCAAAAGATAGGAAATGTAAATAGCGTGCTGTCACCGGCCACCACACTGCCGTGTGCACAGGTCCTTAGCTACTCGATACACAGCCTTATCTGCTACAGGGGAAAGGTGTCGAACGACTGACAACTCTGCCTAGCTCCCTTTATTACCAATTAACTTCATAAAGGACATTTTTTATCCTTGTTCCATGTTAATCGCATTAGATAAATATAGTTTTTATTCTGTGCTAATTTGAATAACGTTTCTGAAATAAATATTTTTTTGTGATCGGCGCCAAGTTTTTGAAGAATGATTATTATTGGACTAATTAAAATAAATGAAAAGGTTGGTAATAGTGATTTGCATAAATAATGGTCTCTCTGTTTGTTATCTGTTGTAATCTAACATTACGGTCTCACGTTAGAACTTGTGTCTTTAGTTTATGGTATTGTTATGGCGGTTATGGCTGCCATGTATTGTTAACTATAATTGCTTACCTAGCTATCTGTCTAGTGGGATCTTTCGTTATAATAAACTATTTCAGTTTACCTCCAAAATTATGCTACATAGTATAAAACAAAGTCGCCATCCACTGTCTGTCTGTCCCTATGTATGTTCATATCTTTAAAACTATGCAACGGATTTTGATGCGTTTTTTTTAAATTGGTAGTGTGGTTTTTAAGGAAGGTTTATATGTATAATGTATGTGTACGGTTAAGTACACCTTGCTTAGGTTCGCTGGTAAAGATGTTTGCTTCTTGAAGTTAAGTTAGTTGAGTTGATGAGTGCAAAGAGAAAGAATCACTTATGATACGTTTATTAGTTAAGTTATACAAGTTGAAGGTTGGCGATTCCTTTCTCTATCGTTGGTTTATTAGCACACACTGAGTTTACTTAATCGATGACTATTTATACTTAAATTACGAACGCGCGACGCGACATAGTTGCCGCATCAGCACTACCCATATACAGCGTGTACAGTTTAAGACTGTACATCTTGCCACCCCAAAAGAAAAACTAGTTAATATAAAAGATAGAGAAAAGG